CCCCATAATATTTTTCGGAACACTTTAGAAATGCTCTTAAGATAACTCTCGAAACTTGATCTGCAATTCATCTCGAATTTACGATAATTCAAGTAGAATTACCTTGAAATTCACCTCAGAATTCTTTTGGATCTCACGGAATTCTCCTCAGCATTTTCTAAACATTCCTCCAAAATTTCAATGGAATTATTCCTTACATTACGATTGAATTCTGCTCCGGAATTCCTTAAAATATACTTCCGAATTTTCATGGAAGTCTAATTTGAGCATCCTTTAAATTATCATAGTAATAGCATAGGAATACTCCACGGAATTCCATTCAAACTCTCCTAAGAATTCCCTCATAATTTTTTTTTTAATTAAAAATTCTTTTGGAATTATCATCAGCACTTCCATTGAAAGAAACAAATATACAAATAAACAAAATACCCGTCAAATCATGCTTCAACCTCCAGTTGAATTTCTCCTCAGAATTCTCTTGGAATGCTCTCGGAATGTCCATCAAATTATTTACACAATTTCTTAGTAATTGTGTTTAAATATTCTTTTGAATTTTCGTTAGGATTTTCTTCTCACCTTGAAATTCTTCTAAACATTAAGTTGAAACTGCTCGTTTTAACTATTCTCTGAACTAACTAGGATTTCTGCTGAGCAGTTGCCAGGAATCAAGTGGTCATCAGAATTACATTGGAAGCATTACTTAAATTTCGCCTGAAATTCGGCTTATAGCTAAAATGGAATTCCAATCAGAACTCTAACAATACTCCCCAAAATTTCTTTGAAACTGTCCTTAAAATTTCTTTAATATTCACTTCAAAATTTGTCTGAAATTATCATAGAAATACTCAAAGTAATGCCACGAAATGCCAGAATCATGAATATTTTCTTCATATCCAAGAATCTTGAAAATTTTGCAAGATTCATTATTTTGATATTTGTTTTCAAATCTATGCAAAATTTCATAGTCTGACATCTAAATCTTCGGTAATGAATTTTTGAAGATTTCTTCAAGCAGCATTATTCTTTTATTAAGGTCCAGGATTTTGAAAATTGTCTAATGCCCTAAAAACATTTCGTGTTTCCAAAGCTTACATATGATTTTGATATTTTCCATAAGTCTCACAGTCTTGAGATTGTTCTTAGTTCGAAATCTCAATAATTTGTCTCAGATTTCAATTGATTCAATTCCAAAAAATCTAAAACAATTTCAAAGCCCATTCCTTCTTTTTACAAAAATTTCTTCTAATAGCCTATTTAGCCCAGTAGCGTTCACAGACATTGAAAAATTTCTATGAAAATTAAAGCATCAGTAACTTTGAAAAACTTTCGAGATCTACCCACTCTCCAACTTGATAAGAAGCGGTGAAGACATTTTTTCGGTCTCATTGAAGCAATTTTCTCTGAACACGTTGCACCCCTGGGTGAGAGTTAATTCATCCAGCGCCAATGTTTTTTTTTCCTTGATTTATTATCCGTCGATCTTGTTTTCCGTACTGAGTACCAATGCTGCCGACGCCAGGGAGGCAGATCCCACATACCTGGGCCCTACCTATCGACCCATCAACTTAGGGACCGGAGACCAACGGTTTTCTTCCCTTCCGAAGGAAGGCGTGATCAGAAATTTTATGCCTTAGAAAATCCCGGTGGCGCCGATTGAACCCGAGCTTTTTGGGGTGAGAGGCAATCACGCGTACCACTACACTAAAGGGTGTACCGTTTAAAATCCGCACACACACGAGCATCGCTCCGCGTTGATACATCTGCCGACCTTGGCTAATAGGAGGATCCTGTTGCAGCGACTTTTCATATTTGACATCCTGTACAACAATGTAGGCTGCCCGGTACTGCTGAGCAACATTCATCTCAACAACTCGACATGCTGATTTTCTCCGCCTTCCTGTGCACCGCACTCTCTGTGGACAGAACAATCCGTTCGGTGTTTGTTGTCGTCGGTTTAATGAAGTGTTTGTCAATTTTGATATTAATATTTCCAAAACAATGTTTAGAAATAGGATTATTTAACAGTATGTACGATATCATTCGAAGACAAGTAAATAATTAAATAAATAATAGTTAAAATGTTACAGCTGTTTATGTGTGTACCATTTTCCACGAATGCACCCTTTACTATTCACGGTGAAAAGAATGTGTACTCAATTTAGTAGAGTTGTATTTCCTATTGTAAAGAATGAGAATGCTAGTTTTTTACACTTTGGGGATGAATGCTAATCCCATGCATCATCGCAAGCTTCTCTGTGTAATTACAGGTGATTTGTAAATCACGGAGTAGCAAGCGCGGGCGGTCAATCATGCTCATGCAAAACTTATTATACACTGGACCTTGAAACTGATCGTATGTATCTTTGGTGACCTTTAAAATCCAAGGCCGTTCAAAATTTAGCTTAGATATGGTTAGGAATCAGCCTACTGTGTTTTGTAGAGCTAATAACAACTTTCAGCCTGCTTTATAACAAGTTTTGTTACTTGGGCTAGTCAATAATCACTGGAATCAAATGTGTAAAATGTTAATCAACTCTACAAAAAAATTAATGCTAATGCATGCTAAGCACTGTCGAAAAGACACACAGCGGCTTGAAAATGAAACGTGATCTGCCTCATAATTCCGTCCACAGATTCTCAGTTCCCGATTTCGGCTGCACCGCTAAACAGTTCAACCATCAAGGCACTACGGTAGTTCTAGCCGTTCTGATGTTGCAGCACCACGGACCAGTTGGCGGCTTACTGCTGGAGCCGGCTGGCTGGTTGCTGTGGTATAGCGATTACCCTTTTTTATGACGATGACGACGACGACTCGTATTTACTTACGATGGAAGCGGCAGCCCGTAAGGCGTTCTCCTTTTCACTCTCGTTTGAACTCTCTCACGTGCGGAAAGAAGGGTAGTAGCACGACGACAGTATAAAGTGTATCAAATCTTGCTATGCTCTCTGCGCACGCAAGGTGGGGACATTCTTTACACTACACAGTGGAAGTTGACGGTGTTGGTAGTACCGACCTACCCACCTACCTACCCAGCTACTAATGAGTGGTTGCTGTCGGTGGGTTGTATTGCACTACCATCAAACCGCCAATGTTGTGCTGGGGAACAGCACAGAACCCTGCACCTAATGGGAGAAAAGAGCAATAAGGTAGCCAGGGTGGGTGCTTGGTCGGGAACTCGCTATGAAGCAGCTGATATTGTCTTCTATTGTTTTATTACGGGATATACTGGGACAAAATGTTTGGAATATCGTTTCCTGTGTGGAAATTACTTAAAAAAGCGTACTAACAAAAAGTTTAAAAAATTAACTAAAAGTTCTTGACTTATGATTTTTGTCAATTTTCGAGTGTTCATGGTTTTCAATATTCGGATAGTTTGAGTTTTTCTTGAGCTTTTTTTTATTAAAAAATATCAAAAATTGAAGGACATTTTGAGACATTTTAGTATTTAAATACTTTATTTCTCTCTTCAACTTTGTGTAAGATGGAATTTCGATCAGAAGTGAAGATATCGTTTTATTGAAAAAGGTTATTATAGACGCCATTTTGAAAAAAATACAAGATCCAAAATGGCTGAATTTTAGTAAAAAAAACTGAATGATTGCCCATAACAAACATATCACAAAAGATCACTGTATTGGTCGCAGTGATTATGACCCGAACAATTATGCAAACTTGTCTACAAAAAGGGTAACGGAGGTATTTTTGACTGCTTTAGGAAGTCATTATACAATTCTAGATAGAGCTGGAATTAAGGCGTAGCAGGTTTTTTAAACAATGACTTTTCTCGATGATTTCCAAAAACCCAAGCCTCCTTCAAGCAAATCAATATCACCATGAGCTAGGGGAAGTCTTCCCCTACCCGATGATAATGTTGGTTTGCGTGGGCGCGTCTTGAATTTCTATAAATCATCGAGAGAAGTCATTGTTTACAAAAGCTGTTAGGCTCTAATTCCAGCTCTATCTAGAATTTTTCTAAAAAAGTATGATTTTGTTACAATAAATGGTTAATTCATCATGACATTACAAAGAGCTGTAATGTAAATGAATCGTGACAAACTTTTCAGCACTGAAAAAGGAAACATTTCAAAACAAACTGATTTCAAAACACTCCAGACCCGACCACTAGGAGCACTGCAGTAAAATAAACAGTGCGTCCAAATATTAAATTACTCAAGCTTTATTAAGGGCTTCTGGGTTAAGATGTATCCCGGGGCAATATGACTAGTAAGGGTGCATCCATTAGGTACGTCAGGCTCTGCTGGGAGAAAGGGGAAGGGATTTCAAATGTGTGACAAGCAATGCATTAGGTATAGGAAAACCGTGACTTAATGCACGCTCCCTAATGATCATATTACAAAGAGTTTATCGACTAGCTTTAATGGCGGTAAGCTCCAACTCGGATTAACTTTTAATATCGTCCCTGTTTGAATAATCTGCAAAATGTTTGCTTAGAGTCGTGTCGATTAACTTTGATGTCGACATCAAAGCAGCCGGACATTCCTGATCGGGATTTAATCCAAGGATAATACCGGTTGGAGCTTACCACCATAAATGTTTAACGGATCTATAACGAACGGGATAGAACATTGAACCTGTCCGTCGTGGCAGGACCCCTAGCTACGGCACTGGGGAAAAGAGAGAAGGATATCTTCGTGCGGTGCGGTTCGTGATCTGCCCGTGAGGTTAGACCCGGGGTGAACAAGTGGTGTGCTGTCGTAGAACGATCGCATTGCGCGTGAAAATCCGAACAACTAGAGCAAAGTGCACAACTGGCAGGAGGGTGCGATCGCGCTCTGCTGTTGACCGCGAGGACCTCGGTGGCGACGAATCCCGCCGCCCGCCGCCACGAGAAGGGTGATCTCGTTTGTGCGTGTGTGCGCGGAGGGGACAGTTCTGTGCAGTATAGAGCCGCGGCGCGTTTCGCACATTTGGCGGCATATTTTGACTCCAAGCCGATGACGGTTTGCCAGTATATATAAGAAACTAGAGGGCTAGGCCGAGCCATCAGTAGTAGTTTTAGGTTGCTCTACGCTAACGTAGAGCTTTTTTCACGTTCGTTGCGTGTTTTGTCCGTCGATCGAGTGGGTCCTTACGTTTTCGGGAACTTTGTGTTCTAGTTCTGGCCGTGCGTGTAAAGTGCGTTTCGTTCGAATTTCAGCTGAAAATTTGGTGAATTTATCGTCGTCAACATGAAGGTGAGTTTAAAGGATGCAGGATGCTGGAGAGGAATAAATTGAACATGATCCCGTAGGATTTGGATACTCAAGGACATTCGCAAAAGAGAAGAACGGCAAAGTGCGTCAGTGAAAATTAGCTAAAGTAGCAAAAGTGTGAACATCAAATTGATTACATCATTCAAGAACGATAGAAGCAATTCAATAATAGACTTTGATTAATGGACCTTCGAATTTGATCTTCGACACCTGATCAACCTGTGAAACATGATAGTGCAAAAAGTGGCTGCTGCCAATAAATACAAGTGATATGAACTACTTCGGAGGCAGCTCGCTGGTGACTCGGCTAATTGATCCACATAACTCCACGGTAGTTGCCTTAGCGCGTATGAAACCGCGCGAGTGAAGTTTTAAGGTCGGCGCTAGGCCTGCAAAATCGACTCAAAAGTGATTGTTGATCCGTGCTTAAACGTTGTATCTAAGGCATCCAGCGCGTACATGGCGCTGACAACCCCATTTAGGAATACTGTTCGGAAACCTGATAAGTGACCAGGCGTATCAATGGTTGCACACGATCAGCAGCAGTAAGGTTACCCATAACTAGAGCGACCCGGTGGCCAACAGATGCAAAAGTGAATGCCGTTTGGTGTGGTCAAAGCACGCGTCAACTTGGGCACAAGCTCGTCGCCTGCAAGACTTAGAATCGCAACTGCGGTTCTACTTGTACGGCTTCGGGGATCTGATCGATTCAGGTATGATAATTGTCGAACAGGTTGATGGAGCAAGCTCACGCCCAACGGTGATTCTAGAGGCACGCGGATAAGCCGCAACAACAGGAAATGCAAATCATACACTGCCGCAATTTTGTTGCAGCAACGCTTTACTCGGCTAATATATTCCGCCTGCAGATTCCGGCAGGAGTAAATAAGCTACATGCCAACGACGGTGGTTTGGCGCCTTTTTTCTGGTGGGTTGAACGAGTGTGATCTAATAGTGCGTGGTGACAAATGGATAAATGAATAAATTACTGCAACTGATTTGAATAATTGAACTACTGCTACCGTGAGAACTGTAACAAGGGACCTTGAGTGGACACTTATCGAGTGAGTCACCAGTTGATGATCGGAAAACTTTGCAAAAGATATCGAAGAGAACACTGAAGTGATCAATAGACGTATATGTTGAAGAATTTTGGAAGATGTGAAACATAATTTAGCAAATATAAAATATCAATTTATTTTATAAATTTTAAGTGAATCGTAATGGTAAGTTACAAACAATCGAACTTTGAAATCAAGTGTGAAAGCATTTAACCACAAGAGGGGCGTAGTACCTGGTATTCCAGGTTAAGAGGCACTACCATAGTCCAATCAATATTATAAATTGTGTTTTTAATAATTTCATTAAACAACATTTGGAACAAATGATGAAGAATGAACTAAGAGTTCTACATGTTAAGAATACTTCAAATAGAAGAATTTATAAATATTTATTTAAAGCCATTCATTTTCAAATTTCGAATAAATTTTAAAATTTTAATCCTGCTAAAATCGAATTTATTAAATTAAATAAAATAAATTAATCATAGAAGACCTCCCTTATTTGTTCGGGACATAAATCCACTGCGTCCAGTTATTTGATCTATTGTGGTGTCCTCAGTTTAGCGGATGTCGTATTACTCCACACAAAAATTATGAGGTATTCGGATTTGTTACGGTTGTCATTCTTGCCCTTTTCGCAAGACTTTTATTGATAGGTCCCACTCTTTATACCTCTCGGAGTGTTGGAACACCTGCTAAAGATGCGCCCCTTTGTCAGTCAAAAACGGATTCCTTCGCAACAAAATCAAGCACTAACACCGATAATGACTATACATCTTAGTCTAGTCTTCAGTCAATTCAAACTAGAGAACAGCGAATTAGGGAAAGATTAGCGCCCCTTAGCCCAGCTGGTAAAGACACAGCTATGAAATACGACTATGCTAGAGGTGGCAACTTTCGATTCCAGCTTCGGTCTTGGAATTATTCGGGTTGGGAAATTTCTCACATTCATCCTAAATGCCACACACTGATAAAAAAATACTAAGGTACACTAGAGGAACTGGGACTTGAAGGTTAGTGTCATAGAAATCTTTTAAATGTTTAACTGATTTCTACTAGAATGTTAAAGTTTGCGTTGAATGCTATCCCAATGCTAAAAAAAACTTGGAAGAATTCCGAGCAAAAGCCCGTCTTTAGTAAAATTTTACAAAGTTATTATTTTGAATCTTGATATCATTTAAATTATGTTTTATGTAGCAATAAGACAACTAAGCTGGATTTTTTCTATGGAAATCAGAATAAATCATTTACAACTATTTTCGATGGAAAACTTAAAGAATAAGTCTCGCTTACCCCATGCATTTCGTAACCATTGAGTAAGTGGGCTCACGATCGAAAAGGAGCTTTGAAGATAGAATTGCAATAAATATATATATTATATGCGTTTTAGAATGTTTCTTAGAGCAATTTGAATGTTATGATCTCATTCAAAAGTAACATTTTGTTAACTTTAGTAATACTGACGGATTAACCTGAAATCAGTGTGATAAAACGCATCCAAAGTAACACATGAAACATTTTTTTGAAATCGAATTTGAAATGATTGTTATATAAAAGTTATATAAATGTTACATAAGCGTTGCAGAAAATATCCCCGTTTTATAAAGGCTCTGTAAATGTTTTCTTCATACTTCCCAGATTTAAAAATCATCCATGTCTACAATTGGTTGGTTTTGATCATTAAAAGTTATAAAAATGTGCATCTTACTTCATTATTACCACTACAAAACTTGTCGTATGCAAAGTCAATGTTAATTATATTTATAAAGTAATTAATTACTTTCCAAATTGGCGTTGACGTTGACAGAACCGTCAAACCTCCGTCACTTCACGCAGCTCAGTGTTATTGTATTCGAATACATCATCTCAAACATTTATACAACTGAAAAGTGCAGGTTGTCTTGAAGAGGTTGAAAATACTTTTAAGTGACACATGTTGACGCTTCTGCTGCTTTTACAAAACATCTTTATGGCAAACCGAAAGCGAGAATATGATTTTCCTGCCATTTAAAGAAACATGATGGTAACTTAGAATATGTTTAACATTCATCGAAGCTGGTCTAGTTAGGAAGCTGCAAACCTACCACTCCAAGGACCAGTGTTCAAAACTCATGCTAGGCTGTTTTTTTTTGCTCGAATTATATTCTTTGCAACTGAAATCGGTTGCATATTATGATGTTTTCTGAAAAACATGAAGATGTTGTAAGATCAATATTTAGTTTTGTAAGCTCCACCTCCGTGCATTTCATTTCTTATGTATGATGAATGTATGAGATGAAGTAATTACAAATAATTTTGATTCCTTCCATAAGTCATTGAACAGTATTTTCAACATTTTTCTTAGGCTTAGTGTTCGAATTCCATGCTCGGCTGGTTTTTTTTTATAAATAATGTTGGTTGCCGCTCAAATCGATTGGTTATTATGATGTTTTCCAAAACATGTTATAAGACCATTATTTAGTTCTATAAGCTCCGGTTCCTGGGCTTCTTTGTTTGTATAAATGTTTAAAATGAAGTAATTTAAAGTATTATTGATTCATTAAAGAAGTCATTAAACGGTATTTTCAACTTATTTATAACTAGCTGTGTTGCTTGGGTTACAAGTATACTATCTCCTACTTTTGAATATGGATGATTATATTCATGCAGTGCAGCAAACACGAAGTTCCAGTTTCATGAGCGATGTCACAACAGTGGCCAAGATTTGTGCTCTAAAAACTTTGCAGTTGTAGGGTAGGGCATATCAGCCAACATGACGGTCATCTTGGAGCTCTTCAAGGAATCGCCTTAATGTATAACTTAATTTCAGAGTCATACAAGCGTTCGAACAAAAAATGCATCGTTTCTACATGCGCAATGATGCCCCTAGTTTAATCTCCGACACGTTGTGTACAGTATTTTTTTAACATGAATTTCTCCTCGTTCATCGTGTTGTCTGACTTAGGTTGACGAGTGGCTGGAAACCATCGATTCATGTCTGGATTGTTAGAAGTGCTTCTGCTGCATCGCTTTCGATGCGCAAAAGGTGCCATGCTATGAGACCGTAGATAGCGGCGCCGACGGTGTTGTGGTAAGCGTGATTGCCTCTTACCCCAAAGGACCTGGGTTCAATAACAGTAGGCACCGCCGAGATTTTCTGAGGCATAAAATCTCTGATCACACCGAAGTTAAGCCGTTGGTCCACCGGTTCATGAGTCTAGATGGTTTGATAGGTAGGGTCCAGGTGTGGGAACTGCCTTCCTTGCGCCGGTAGCATTGGTACTAAGCAACGATGATAGATTAACCGACTTCTGTACACGAGAAAAGTGATCACCCTTTTTTAATTATATCCATAAAATATCAAATCAAATACTTCGTGAAGCTACGGTTAATGCAAGAACTAATTCATTTGTTGTACTATTTTTCTATCTTACAGATTAAAACAATCTTTATTATAATTCAAGTTTCAACTGTTCAAAAAAGATGGTATCTACATTCTTCGTGTACAAAAGTCTGGAAATCTTGCATCCTTGGTACTTAGTACGGAGACAGCTTTTATAATGAGTAGTATTGGAGTAAATTTTAAGTAACTCTGAGTAACTCAAGTTGCTCAATATTCAATGCACGGTGACATAGCAACCTGTTAGTTTTGACTGCATTCCACGATTGTCAAGCAAAGACGTTTGACGAGGAAAATCTACGTTCATCATTTAACAACATTACATACCGGATTGCCATCCACAAAATCCGTGTCGCAGCCTGCAAAATCTCCGTTTGATAATAATGGGATTTTCAAGTGAATTAATTTTTTGGTGATGCATTGACCCGAGCAAAGTCTGAGATCAAATTGAAATCTAAATTTGATGTTGTGATTTCGCTGATAATGATTACACAGGTTGCTGTCGTTTTGGTCGTTTTATCGGTTAAAATATCAAAATTGAC